TCTGTGACTATCTTTAAGAAGAAACTAGATGCTTTCATGGACAGGCAAAAAGGTGGGGGGCAATGTTGACGTAGGTACTAGACAGTAAGCAACTAAGATAGTAAAAAAAAAAATACAAAAATACTTAGCTTTAAGAGGGTTCGGCCTACCCTAAAATTAAGGAACGCTCGACCTCGACACGTGATATCGAAATGTGCGAAATCGCCTCTTGATATCACTAACTCTCCTGACTCCTGACTCCTGAGAACATGAGGTGTGCTAACTTTTTAAAGGTCTTTTAGTACACCCCCTTACTACCCTGATTTTTTAAACCACTTTTTTCAATATGGGCAAGTGTAAATTTGGTCATTTAGTCAGCAATATTGTGTTTTGGTAAAATGATCCCCCTTACATCTTCATCTTGTCTTTCAGTCTCTTAAAAATGTTTTGGTATGTCATCAGTGATGTTAACTCATAACTAATTATTCAAAACTCAAGAAAATGACACATTTTCTTGGTAATACTTTTATTTGTTTTTGTCCCTATGTCTCTTTTTTAAACAAGAAACCACAAATTGAATACCAGTATTCACAATATAAGTAGCCCATATATAATTGTTCCATATGAAACTGCACTTCTCTGATCACATCAGGATTGGCTAATATTACACATACAGTCGATCAGGTCCTCCCCATTACACATGGCACCTGAAAGGGGTAAACTAAGAAAGAATGAGAATGGCTCAGGTGTGAAAATGCTCTATTCTTTCCATTTATCACAAGTACTCTGTTAGTCTGGTGCATTCCTGTCTTTCACATGTTTCTCTTTCCTTCTAAGAGTAGAATGTTCTACATGGTCCTGATGGACCATATAGACCTAAGTTTGAAACACTTCAGTGGTACATCAACAATATTACATATGTGTATGCAACATAATCACAAAGAGAAGGTATGCAAACCTCATGATCACAGGAAACTGACACAATTAGTTTTTTATATCAATCAAATGCCAGAAAAAAGGAGCAATATATGAACACAAGTGAGAGAAATACAACATTTCAGTGACCTTAGACAACACAACACCTCTCTGCTCATCAGATCATTAAACAATGGTGGAATCTAATCTGATGGGGCATGTAGTTTATGCCCATTTGTATATGCTCACCAGCAGCACTGCATGTCACCATTAAGTTGTGGAGGCATGCTCCCAACTTGCTCAGTTATGGACTTCATTCACCCACTGCACCAGTCATCAGGAATAAACCACTGGCACTCATTTTGCAAATTAAACAAGCTTAAATGTGGAATTTGTTTTCTCCTGTTTATGTTGCTTCTTTGTAATCTGAACTCAAGCAGAGACCAGCAGTGGAGGAAGCTGGGATGATGCAGCATTGGAATTAGATAATTACATACTGTTGGATTAGTTCAATAAGTTCCTACCAGAATATCTAGCAAAATTTTGAGAATCACAATTCTGTGCCCTCCTGGGGTTGCAAGTCAATCTTTCAGCACATCCACTTTGAGTACAGCTTGATTAAGAGTATTCAATGCAAAAGCAGCACATCACATGGAAGCACTTTTTCATCCACATAATTAAAATTCAATTGACTCAATTTTAATTATTAACCCTAGAAGCAGCAACTGTTGATCAATCGACAGTTCACTCATCACAGGGTTTAACCTTGCCACTTCTAGGGTTAAGATAGTTCAACATACCATGCTGAACTGATGTGATGATGTGTACAGGATGAACCTTGATTGGCTGCATTCCCGACTAGATGCAATTGCCCCCATTTGAACATTCACTATCTGTTATCACACTGAGAGCATTAAAGGGCCCCCTCTTAGGATACTTCCTGTATTGCTCTTTTTCTCTGGGATGCATTCTTTTCACAAAACCTGAGCAGCATTTACAATGGTGGTTGTATCCCATCAGCATCAATCATGCCCACCTGAGTCTGCATGATTTTTGGCCAAGGTAGACACAGGTACCAGGCAGTTACTGTGAGAGTCAGTGACTTTTGTCATATCAAGTAACCAAGCACCAGAAGCTCAAAATAAAAGGAAAGACAGTGATAGCAAGACATTGCTCTACTGAGCTAGGACTTGATCATAACATGCCATCTTGCACCAGAGCCTGAGTAGCACTTGGTTCTGTTTTCAAACAGCAACATATGCAGGCCTCTGTTGAATCTGTTATAGGTAGTAATAAAGAATGCCCCCTGCTTATGTCTTCAAAGCCCATGGTTCATTCCATCTCATAAAATGACAGAAATTGAATGGTCTGTTGACACTGAAATCAACAGTTCAACACAAGGATGAATGCTTCCATTGAAGTAGAACTGCTTCAAGTCAATATCCTGGAAAATAATACTTCCCAGAATATTGACTTGATTTGAGTATACTTCTGAGATCATGCATGGTGAAGATATGGAACATTTTCAGTAGGATAAAAGCCAAAGCAAGGATCATGGATTTTATTATACTAAGAGGAACTTACCTCTTTTCATGAGCAGAAAAGCAAAGTTTACAGGCTCAGGATATATGTAACAGTGTAACTTGACAGTAATTATTGGGGAATGACTATTTATGGCAGATCACCCAATTAAAGTACACCCTGTATGTATTCTGTATACTCCCAGATGGCATCAGCCATTCCAAAAGAACAATTAAAAAATGGGCACTGAAAACAATGACATGGACATTAACAAGAAATTTAAAAAAATGATGAAACACAACATTCCATTCAGAAAGCAGACAACCTTGTGTAAAACCAATACCCATTTGGGAGCTCAAACAAGCTCACGAATGCAGTTCCATCTTTCCTTGCCTATCTTCCTTTGTTTGGACATATTTTTCTGACTATGGGAAGATGGGTAACTTCAAGGCACTTCCTTGATGAATTCCTTGAGAAGGACTTCTGCTGCAATACCAGGAGTGGAAATGCCCTCAATCACCTGTCTTTCCATCTCATTCAGCTTCTTCTTGACAGCTGGATGCTGCTTGAAGATGCTCACAATGTTGTCTGCAATGTAGTTCCACATCCAACTTTTGCGCTGGTCCTTTCTGTTGGAGAAGAATTCCCCACAGGACACCATCATCTGATGATACTTTTCTAGGTCACCCCATAACTCTTTCAGCCCCTCACCAGTGAAGGCTGAGATTCTCATTACCTGGAAGAGTGCGAATTGGAATTCTTAGATAGGAATAGGTACTGTCACATTAACCTTTGTAAATAACATGCCTAGAGGGAAAGGTGGTATAAAAACTTGAAAACTATCATTGCATTTTGATTGACAACATATTTAAGGGCAGTACCAATGGGAGATGAACCTTACCAAGTTTCCACAAGCACTTTTTCATGCAAGTAAAAAAAAAAAATATGGCATATGCACAAAGTTGCAAAAACTTAAATGAATAAAATGCTAAAACTCAGAAGTTTTTTTTTCTGACCTCAGTCACAACTGTTTGGTGGTGTCAGGTGATGAGATAGGTGTCCATTGAGAAACTTATCCTATTGATGAGTGGGACTAAAAGCTCTCTGCCCATGTTCTTTCTTCTTAGTCTGCACTTATATCTTATGTCTTCCTTTCCAAATGGAACCCAGGCAGAGCAGACTTCTACAAAAGTTGCCATTATGGACAAACTTTTATGATGGGAAAAAAAATGTTATGATAAAATAAGGAGAGGATAATCTAAGTCTGATTTTAATCTGACTTTTCAAGAATAGAATGCTTCTGGAATCTGAGCTCATAAGCGGAATTTGCTTTATGGATCCAGATCAGCTCTTGGATCTGACTCAAGTTTTACAGAACTTCTCATGTCTGAAGATGTATAAATAGAGAATAAGACTTATCAAGTGCCATATGCACAAGCAATATCCTTTATTTTGGGGCTAGTTTAAGGCAGTAATTGTGAGGTGTGAGAATGGGAACCATGCAAAGACTGTGCAGTGCTTAACACAAATGTGATTGAATTTCTTTCACTCCTATAAAACAGGAACTATGCTCTCCACTCTTACTTTATGGAGTTGTAATATAGACAATGTAGACAATAATTCAATGCAACACTAAAATTTATATGTATTTTTCTCAATTTTGTATTTGGGCATTTTCTCACGATACATGAAACTCAAAAGAGCTATGGAGGTCTTTACACAACTAGTACAACAACTAACCAAGAAAATGTATCTGAATCAGCCTAGGACCAATTTAGAATGCCTAGTAACAAACCTTTGTCTTCCAATTTTGCGACACAGGTCGCATATACTTGATAGCGGACAAGTAGTCATATTGGATCCTCCTTGCAGCTGGAATAAGATCTCCATCAGCCTTGGTGATGCATATGAAGTGAGATCGCTCTATGATTCCCTTTTTGATGCCTTGAAGTTCATCACCACCCCCAGGGGGTATGAGGAGCACAAATGCATCCACCATGTCAGCTACAGCTAACTCTGACTGCCCCACACCTGTAATGTTGGAAATTTTCACTGTAATAAATGTTTCATCAGTGCCAAATGAAGAAATACATTAAAACACCTCACCAACAGTTTCAATAAAGATTATCTTGTACCCCGCACATTCACAAAGGTAGATGGCATCTTGAGTGTTGCGAGCAACACCACCCAATTTTCCACCACTTGGTGATGGCCTGATATAGGCATTGGGATCTCTTGAAAGCTCATGCATGCGAGTCTTATCGCCAAGGAGGGAACCTGCCAAAGATGTTCATCATCTAGAGACTATTTAATATATTACACATGTTGTGAATTCATGCGTAGATTCATTTATATAAACCAGCCTCCAGTCTTGGAAGAGGAAGGATCTACAGCCAGGACAGCTACCTTGTGCCCAAGAGCTGTAAGCTGCTTGCCAAAAGATTCAATGAATGTTGATTTCCCTGCCCCTGGTGGTCCTGACAGTCCTGGAAGTTTTCAAATATAGTCTTCTTGAAATCAAACAAACATTAATAAGGATGACAAGATTCATGAAGAAATACTTTTTTCCGTACCTACCAATCCTGAAGGACAGTGCAGAAGCGCCTGCCTTCTCATACTCATCCTTGGCATGAGCCAATACCATAGAGAGCAGGGCCTGGGATTCCACTTTATTTCTTGGATGTGTGCTCTCTGCCAATGTGATTGCTTGGGCAAGCATGCCCCTGTTTTGGTTTAACATTCCATTAAATAGTCTTTGAACCCAAGGAGACTTGAGGGATTCCTCCATTGAGGAGACCTGCTGAGATCTCTGTTGGAGTGCCATTCGATGGGCATGGCTTCCATTATCTTCTGCACCAAGTGGATCCTCCTCACTGGAAGTGGCTTGGTCCAAATTTCGGTAAACAGAGATCACTTTCCTTCTTGCTGAAGTTTGAAAGCTTCTCAAACTATGATACAATTGTCTGTTTACACTCTCATATGTACCACCACAGCAAGATGCAGCACCAATTCGAAAAAGTACAGCTGCTGGGGATCCACAATAGATGAGATTCATGTTGAGTTTTTCCCTGTCTGCAATGAAAGATGAACCAGGGTAGGAAGTGGAATCCTAGCACATTGCAGGAAACATTACTCATTTTTGAACGGGTAATAACCAAGCCATTAGAAAGTAAAGAAAATATCTGTAAGCTTTAAAAATGCAGCTTCCTCAAAATGATGCATCACATCATCCCTTTACCTTCAAAATGCAGACACAGAATGCAAAAGTAGCTTCATAAATGTTTATGTACTATTAGAATGCCTAGCTTCAATCCAAGAGTTTCAGATGAAATAATCCTCATGATTCCAGCCACAGAAAGTGGCTTTGGAGCCGTCTGAAGCTGAGGCTTCAGGCGGCCAAAGGGAAAGTCAGGAAAGGCCCTGAGGCGACGAGGAAGAGGAAGCCCCACTCATTGCAAAGCGACAGATGGGATCGCCGGTTAGGCCCAGCGTGGAACAAGCAAACTCCTGCCTGAATCACGGCACATACTCGTACGTACCGCTTTGAATCGCTGCACATTAACCTACACCTCCCAGGTTTGCTAACGTCAGAATTAATAAACAAAACTCTTCGATGAATTTATCATAATGGTCGGCTTAACCCAAAGGAACTCTTCGGTCACCGTCTCACCTCGTCAAGGTCACATGGAAGAGATCCTGTTCTTCCTTGTATCCCCGAGCGCATGTGCGTAACACGCGCATGTACCCACCTCAGGAGAGAAAGAAAACACCAAGACGTCTGTCTACCCTTCAGTCCTGCATGATTGGCTCTATCATGCCGGTTGGAGCCTTACGGTTCTCGTGTGGCCTATGATACGGTCTTCGATTGACTGAGGTGCGATGACGATGAAAATACAGTGTAGCAGTGCGATAGGCCTATGGAGGACGAAGTCCCTCCTCCTCCCTATCGCTAGGGCCAACAGGATGAAAGTTATGGTCGCGTCGGTACCTCCAGGACCAGGCCCAGTCCTCAGACGGTCCGCGTCCCCGATTGTGACTTCCTTGCTTCAGACTCGACCTTTCGGCACCAGTCCCATCTTCGAAATGTTTTTCCGACAGGTTCGTCACCCTTACATTTTCAGTCCTCCTGTTTCCCTGTCAAGCATGGCGTTTCGTGTTTAACTAGCCGCCAGTTCTCCAATGTTGCACTTTGTACACCCTGTAGACATTTAAACAGCGGCCCGAGAAAGAGTCAGGCCATGCCTCTAGGGCACAATCGCGCGAATAATAACCACTATTGAGAAGAACTATCATCAGCCAGAGAACCACTGACACGCTTCACATAAAAACAGATGTTCAGTGGCTCCTCGTTCTTACTCAACCGTTTACGCAACTACTCGTTGCAACACTTCGGTCAGGATTCCCCTCTAAACGAATTTTTTTTATTCTAACGTTTGTGTTCGAGATCTAGGGTGGATTTTTGAACAGAGCATTATCCGATAATGCAGCTTTATTTCCCGGATTTATAATGCATTTTCTCTGAAATAAAGCTGCATTATCGGATAGTGCTCTGTTCGAAAATCCATCCCTAGAATTTTACACCTCGCCGTTCATGGCGCCCCAGACAAAATAATTGGTCTGGACCAAATAATTGGTCTGGAAATAACAGTCTGGACTGTGTAGGGGCCACAAATCTGGTTCGATGAAGTCACATACAGCAACATTTTCCTTCAAGAAGGTGTCGGCGAATCGTGATGCGTGGAAACTGCTTGAAGCAGAAATCATTTCCACTCCCATTGTTGGTTCTGAGGCCGGATTCTTTATTCGAGGATGGCTCCTGTATATTTCTGGCTGTCAGTTCCTAATGCGATCGACAACCCGAGGCATCGCTGCCGCTTTTTTTTTTCTGCGATGACGGAATCCGGAAGGTCCTATCTTGTTCTGAAGCCTGCAAGCAAGCTTTATGACGGTCTGTCTGTGATCATCCCCGATCGTCTTGCCACGTATCTATTAGGGAATTTACGACGTTTGATGTATGGCAATAAAATCATAAAATCGGGAGATTCGCCACAAGTTAGCAACTGACGATAGCGATTCGTTTACGACCCCTATCTGATCTTTGTCGGCCATGCGACGAAATCTAATCTTTGTTTATTAACTAGGAGAGATTTATTACATCCATCTGCGTGTACTTGTTTCCGGGGGGGGGGGGGGGAAAGGAAGAGATAAAA